CTTTAGAGGGTGACCGTCTTCTTGCTGGCGCACTCCTCGCAGACGCGCACCGGCGTCTCCCAGCCTCGACTGGGGACGCACTTGCGCTGCTGCGAGCAGCCGTCGCAGACGCCCTGGCCACAGGCGCGACAGTGGTGGATGGGCAGCTTCTCGGTGAACTCGGTCTTGCAGCCGATGCAGTGCGTGCAGTCCTTGTCCGGAATCCAGTACTCCGGCCGGGCGGTGTCCTTGATCCAGCCTAAAAGAAAGGGAAAAGATTTAGAAAAGAGGAGTTCCCTAGAACCCACCACCACCACCACCCCCACCATCAGGTTCTTACATTTCAACTCACCCAGTGAATAGTCGATGGTGGAGAGGACCGAGCCGAAGGTGGTCTGCGCCGCCTCGGCCACCTTTCGCACCGTCACGTCGCCGTTGAAGTTGTTCGGGTAGCGTTGGCCTGCAAACGAAAAGAGAGAGAGAGAGTTAGTTGATAAGATCCTGAATTTAACTTCGCCAATTTTCCCTTACCCTTCTCAAAGCAGGGGTCGCAGACTCGCACCGGGTGGTCGCCCCAGCCATTCTCCGGCACGGGCTGGTATTTGGAGCTGCAGTCCTCGCAAAAGCCGCCGCCGCATCGTCGGCTAGAGAGGGAGAAAATGAAGAGGTTAGCTTACCGTTTTCAAAACATGCTCTTCAGGCAAAAGGGCTTACCAGTGATGCTTCTGTTCGAGTGGCTCAAAGTTCTTCTCGCACTTGCCGCAGTGCTGAATGCGGGCATTGGGCACCCAGTAGCTGGGGTTGATCTGGTCGGTGACCCAGCTGCCCAGCATCTTCGTCGGCTTGGCGCTGATCGTGCCCACCGTCTCCGTCAGGTAGCTGACGCCGTCGATGACCTTCTGCGCGGCGTTCACCGCCGCCTGCGTGTTCTGCAGGGCCTCCTGGGAAAAAGAAACAAAAGTTAGAGCTTGTAAAAAAAAAGAAAATGAACACCGAGAGTTCAGCGACCCATTCCCCATTATTTGTACAGCAGTGACCACTGCTGGCATTACCATAGGAGAGAGTAACATAGGGGAAAGAGACTACTATGCAAATGTTGACACTGTCCTAGATGATGAGGAGGAGGATGAGGATGATATCCACCACAATTACACAAACACAAACAAAGAAAAACTAAAGAGGATTCACACACTTAGGAGAAGAATGACAACGACGACGTCGGTGGACTTTGTTGTGTTGCTGCTGCTCGAGCCTGTCACCACCACCACCACCGCCAATCGCACCGCCGCACTGCGATCGCAAGACTTCGGTGCACCCCAGTGTACATGTTCAGCTGCTGCTGTACAGTAGTGCTCTACTGAAAACTGTACAGCAGCAGCAGTGACGTTTCGGGTGGCTGAAGCTGCTGCTGATGNGAAGAATGACAACGACGACGTCGGTGGACTTTGTTGTGTTGCTGCTGCTCGAGCCTGTCACCACCACCACCACCGCCAATCGCACCGCCGCACTGCGATCGCAAGACTTCGGTGCACCCCAGTGTACATGTTCAGCTGCTGCTGTACAGTAGTGCTCTACTGAAAACTGTACAGCAGCAGCAGTGACGTTTCGGGTGGCTGAAGCTGCTGCTGATGTAGTAGCAGGTACCGAGTGGCATCTAACCAGATATCTGCTATCCTATTTTATCCTATCCTGACAAGGCCACCCTATACGACAATATCTTTTCATTAGTACAGCACAGTCTGCCTCATCATCATCATTCTCATCATTATCCTCATTAGGCGGCAATGAAGTAATGCTGAAGCAATGCCAAATCGCATTTTATGCCCGTGTGCTAGTCATCCTTACTACTATAAAACAAAAAGACTTACCCCCTCCCAGACGTGGAGAATCTCCGTCCTGGCGACCGACTGCTCGGTGGGGTCCTTGTTGCCGTACCAGTACTGCCGACTGCGGTAGATGATGCCGCAGAAGCGACACTCGAGGACGTAGCCCGCCCAGGCGTACTTGGCAATGCCCACCCAGGTGCTCTCTCCGGCGCCGTAGGAGCGCGGCGTGACGGGCACCTCCTCGCCGCGCTCAAAACAGGCCCGGCAGTAGAGGATCTGATTGGCAAACTGGTGCTGGTACTTGCACTTGGCCGACGTCTTGTGCGGTATGTTGTCGTGAGAGTGGTTCATCGAGAGGGAGCAACGGGCGCTGAAAGGGGGGAGGGAAAGGTTAGCAAAAGAGAACTCCACCAAAACTCCTTTTCCCATTTCCAAACTCACTTGCACGACTGACAGCGCTC